AGGGGCCACCAGCCAGGCCGAGACTCTGGGCGTAGCCGGCAGAGCGGTAGTAATGATCCTCCTCACTGGACGAGCTCTCCAGATAGGTCTTCTTATAGCTATGCTCACCTGGGTGACAGTCATCCTCCACTGCAGGTGAAATCAGAGTTAAAGAACAGTGTTACTCCAGGTTTATCTTTTAGCTAAAAATGCAGTTTGCTACAGGCCAGAAGCCTTTGGTAACTCTTTTTGGATTACTGCAATTTTGTCTTTCAGTTTTGTTAATTTACACCAAAACAAATGATAATTATTCTACTACTAGTAAAATAATTATCATGAACATCAACATACAGGTGTTATTAAATGAATATACATAACACACACAGACAAACAGTGTTATGTGCTGTCCTTAAAATAACATCCAGTATGTTGTGTGTACATACAGCATGTAAAGAAATTAAAACGTACAACTGATCATAACTGTTTGGGTCAAATAACAGTATTTTTCTTATGTCACAAAGTAGTTTAATGATTCCACCCTATTAGAGTTCACATACCCTTCCTCTTAATGCAGTGGTACTCCTGGCTGTGCTCTTGTGGCACGGGGTAGGAGCCTGACTGAGGCAACATGTCCTGAGAGGTGCTTGTGACCCCATTCTCACACTGCAAATACTGGGAGCTCAGGACGCTCTGGGTGCCCATTCCCTGGACCTCCCCACTGAACGGGCTATGGTTGGAACCCACTCTTTGTCGCACTGTGCTGCGAGGCACTACCGGATACTCCTTGGTACTATACACACACAGAGTTACGTTATTAAGAATTATCGAGAACTGACCTCCAGACTTATTATTGCACATTATATTCCTTAATATTTAATGTGAAAACAACATCCCACACATTCCTTCAATTTGTTCTCAACAGTCACAGACATAACACAGACATGAGAACCACACCCAGTCAGGACGCACAGGGAGACTGCTGAAAAAGCCAGCATGTATTTCACGCCTATTAACCCAGAGGATCCACCAGTTGATCATTTTGCTACTTTGTGTTCTTTGATTTCAAGGATCGCTTCAGTTGAAACTGACCTGGTTTTGCAATAAGCTCTCCCTTCAAAAGTCTAACCAAGAGCAGACGTGCATAGCTTACTGTACTCGGCAGGACTGGACACTGGCATGTGAGATTGATAGCGTGGTTTGGACTCTCACCAAGCTCTATATATTTGCATGTTTTGATAGGTGAAATGCATTTCACTCAAAGCTCTGCATTATCTTCTGGCATGCACCTACTCAAAGAAACTTAACGTGCGTCTGATACACTCAGGCATGTAATTTTTAAAAACAACTTGAAAGTACAGTAGTCTATTCTCTATAAAGTGATTTTTCTCTGCTGCATAATCTGAAATGCTTTTTTACAAAGAACTCATGCTGTGGCTCAGGAAAAAAAATATTATGGCAAAGATGGAAAGTTTTAACACCTTGTGGAAAAGCTTTTCCAATTGTATGATTAAGGATTGCTACACTTGAACAGACAGTGTCTGTAATGGCTGTCCAAGGGGGAGCGGGAGGGTTGTGAGTTTCAAAACCAGACTTTCTCCTTTGAAAAAGTGTTTTCATGCAGTATGGACACGTGCTCCTTCGCTCATCTGGACTGAATAATGGAGAGAGCAATGTGGTCGTGTACTTTCTTGGCCATTGGACCAAGTAATACCACCAGTTCAACATGACTGCATGGACACACACACACACACACACATGAAGCACACAAGAGCTGTGTGGAAGGGAGATGTTGCTGTTTCAGAGGTTCTGCCAGATGAGCCATAAAAGTCTTTAGCATGAAAACTGGCTGAAGATCGAGAACTACGCTTACATCACTGACAATAAAACTCATGTGGCTTGTGACTGAAGGATTAAAGTGGTGCTTGTTAAGTGACACTGTGACCAGGGAGTCAATAACCCCTGCCTAGTTGTGGCAACATTTATCTGCTCATTTGACATCATTCAGGTTGTGTCAGTGCTCACATGTATCAGAGCCCAGGATCAATTCAAGAAATAGATTAGCACAACAGTATAGATGTGGATGCTCCAGAACAAACAGGAGAGAGTCGCTGTACCAGAGTCAAATTCCTCGTGTCCAAAACACCTGGCCAATAAAGCTGATTCTGATTCTGATTCTGAGATCCATTACAAAAAAATACCTCTATAGAAGCATGTACCTTTGCATTCTGGACATCCGGTGCAATTCCATGTCATCACTTCCACGAAAGCCTTTTGCAAACGGGTTGTTCTCAATCTTCAGCTGGGTTATCTGCACCAGAAAAACACACTTGACATTAGTGACATGAAGTATATTGTGCAATAAACGCCATTTGTTATGTCACTAGAAGATTATTTTAAAAGGTTGTATGGATACAGTCAAAATGAACACACATTAATATTTTAACCCTAAAATAACACCTATTTAATGCAACATTTCAGTTGTATACTAGGGTCCGCTCTTCAGCTCAAGGTTGATGTGATGACAGTATCACAGCTCGATTTTGTCTAACTCAGTTTTGACGTTTTTTGGATGCATCTAGCTGCTCTCACATACTCAAGAGAATAAAATAATAGATCACAGTTTTTAGTAATCCTAAGACAGATAAATAAAAGTGTGTCTCAAAAATACAGAGTTTCATGGCATAATAATGTTATATGTAATGATCACTCGCTTAACAGAAAGCTGGCACACTGACAGATCCAAATAAAAGGATTTATTATCTGACTATATATTTTGGGAAAAATGTCTTTCTAAATATATATTTTTTAACTTTTTGAAAACCACTCAGAAATAGTAAGTTAATTCCAGACAAGTTAGACACAATCCAGGGATATCCCTCTCATGAGCAGTGGTTTCTGGCAGGTAATTAGTTAGCAGCTCCTGTGTGCTGCCAGCTTTATGACAAGGTCGGAGGTTTGTCTGTAAGTTGGCTGACACAATCTCCAAACCTTGTAAAATCTCTTGATCCCTTGTGTGACACCCCACTAGCTTCTTGTTAATACACACAGCCTGTTAGAGTATTACATATTGTTCCATCTTTTTTAAAG